CGACCTCGCATCGGTCTTATCAACACGCCCAGCGAGAGTCGAACGTCAGCTCTACTCATGTCATTGTGAGGAAATTCTACTGCCACTCCTTAATCGCCTCAAACGAAATAGGATGGATACATCTCATATTAATGACTTACTGGTAGTCTCGAAATTCTGCTTATATACGAAAATAGGTAACGTAGTCGATTGTGATAGCGAAAATACGTTTGCTTCATCGACAATCCCACTAAACAATGTGCTATGGCAAAAGGCCTGGCCTTCCTTGAAATTCACATCTGCCCTGTGACCCAAGGACACTTGTGGCAATGTGGTCGAGCGGTTCATGTGTCAAGCTCGCATGCTGCACTGTCGCAGTTCGAGTCCCGCTGCGGGCGTACACTGCAATCCATCCTGGATGCCAACAGCTTTAAGCAAAGCAAGGCAATGTGAAATGCAATGGGAAAGTCAGTTCTACTCATGTGATTGTGGGAAAAATCATCTACCAGTCCTTCTTCACCTTAAACTATTTTACTGATAGCCTCAGCACACTACTTACAAACGACAAATCGATTTCTATAACAAATATAACATTGCTTACATTGACAATCCCACCACAGAATGTGATTTGGGAAATTGCTTGACTTTTGTAGAAATGCACACCTATCCTTTGACCGAAGGGTACACATGTCTGTATGTCGCAGTAAGCAGTTAACGTGTCGATATTGTACGCTACAGTGTCAGTGTTCGAGTCCTGCTGGAGGAGCAAGGTCGAAGCTGGAATTTAGTCCAGCCGTGAAGAGAATACGTTTGGGGAAGCAGGACTATGCGAAACTGGATGGTAACACAAAGTCCAGTCATGATTGTGTGAAAATGCAATGACTAGTCAGGCCCCTTATTCAGCTAAACGAAACAGAGTGGGTACATTTCACATAACTCAAGATTGTTTGTCGTCAAGACAAGACTGTTGAATTGTGCAGCAAAGTCATCTGCTCACCGTCATGTTACTTGAGAGAATCCATGCTGATCTTTCGTCTGTCATCATCAAGTCATGAGTGTACTGTTGCAGTTACGCATGAAGTACAGTTTCTGACCCTCGCGAAGCCCGTCAGAGCGAGACACACAAGAGCAGAGCACGTATGCATCAAAGCGGCAAGACGATGAGCTGATGACTTGACTTCATGACACAATCCAGCAGGTTCCAATTCACCTATCCCTTGCGGCCAATTCAACCGCCGAGACGGAACTGTAAGTCGCACAGTCCAACAATACATTTCACATAAAGATGACGCGATGATGAAGAACAAAACAAATGGATCAGCAGAAGTTTATTTAAGCAAGTTGAAAGAACATCATTTCCTTTACACTAACCTTCTATGAACTGACAAATGGAGTTTATTTTCTCCCATAAAATAAAATAGACGACTACTTTGTCATCATCTTTTGCCGCATTACTCAACTTTGCTGCACTCTCCCACTCTGAGAAGGGCCGTGCACCAGTGCACTGGTGGAGGCGAGCGATGTCTCTGAGTCGCTTTTTAACAAAGGGACACAAAACCCACTCAAGCAGAACACTGGACGGAAGAGAGGCGGTGGCGCCAGAAGATGAGGCATGACGGAATTATATCCGATTTTTGAGTAGAGACATAGTCAATGGTGTTAGGGTGCATGGATGAGTGTGTATATAGTGAGTAGTATCGCTAAGAGTAGTTTGGATGTGAGTTATCCGATCGAGGGAATCGGATGGCGTATGGTTGCATGTTACTTTGTGATGAATGAGTTCACTCGAGTGCGAGTATGGCATGTGGCGAAACTCGTCTAACTGTACATTAAAGTGATTTTACGGGAATACGTGTGTGTGTGTGTGTGTGTGTGTAATATGGGCCACAAGACTAGCATTATGTCATGATCCGCTTTTAGGCCAAATCGCGGATCTTTCAGTTATGACGGCTCCGTCATGTCTTTGCTCCTGGAACCGAGCAACTGTTGATCGACTGGAATTGTCAGATCGACTCGAGTTGCAGTCGTCTTCCGACACGTCAGTGTCCAGCTTGACGCAGCCGTCTCGTTAAGCACAGCCTCTTTGGCGCCATTCGCCTCCGAGATGGGAATGCACCCCCGAAGGCCGTGGATAAAGACAGACGGCTTTGACACGGAAGTGTAGTTGTCACGCCTTGTTTGCACTGTGTTGGCCCTAAAGAGGCGGAAATAGACGAGCAAAAAAAGACGTCAATCGGAAGACTGAAGGAAGAATGGATGGGAAGAGACGTGGATCAAGTTCATTTTTGAAAAGCCTTTCAAGACTAACATTAACTCCTGAACAATAATCGTGTCCAGCCTATTTCGTTGATGGTGATGTATGACTGATAATGGCATTTTATCATAATCCCTCGAAGAGGTCTCATGTTTCCAATAACTTCAACAATGTCTTGCTTTCCAAAAAGTATTGTCATCACGGCTCGAGTGAACTGCAGCTTCTGCCTCGCCTAGTTTGAGTCCCACCGGAAATGCTGATGAGGCTTGTTCAGGCGAGACCGAAACTGCAGTCCACTCCGGCCTGGATGAGGTTACCTTTGGAAGAGCAGAGCTTAGTGAAATTGCTTACTTCATGAAATGTATTCACTCTTTTCAATTGAAAATGATAAAAAAACTGGTAGTCAAATTTTCCCACGACCAGTTGAGTAGACTTTACTTTTCTATAGAATTTCGCATAACGTTGATTAGCCCAAAAATGTTCTCAGCCAGACTGAAGTGGACTGCATTTTCGACCTCGCTCAGGCCTTATCGACATCCCCAGCGGGAGTCGAGCCGTGATCGTGCAGCACGCGAGTTTGACTCGTCAACCACTCAGCCACATTGCCACGAGTGCCCTTGGGTCACAGGGCAAATGTGTATTTCAAGAAAGACCAGGCCTTTTGCCATATCACATTCTTTGGTGCGATTGTCGATGAAGCAAATTTATATTTGTTACAGCAATCTACGATATTACTTTTTTCGTAAATGAGTAGGTCTTCAAGACTACCAGTAAATTAGACATATGAGATGTGCTCATCCTCTTTCGTTTAAGGTGATGAAGGACTGGTAGTTGAATTTTCCCACAATCATGTGACTATAGTAGACGTTTCCATTGAATTTCACAGAGCCTTGCTTTCCCAAAAGGAGTTCTCATTCATGTTGAAGTGGATTTCAGTTTCGACTTCGTCTACGTCTGATCCGCACTCCCGGCAGGACTCGAACCATGACAATGCAGCGAGCCTTCTTGACACGTTAACGAATACTTCACATTGCCACGAGTATCCTTCACTGTGAGGGCAGATGTGAATTTCAAGAAAGGTCGGGCTTTTTTACATATTATGTTATCTGGTTAGCTTGTCGAAGAGGCAAAGTGATAATTGCTATGATAATCGACTGATTTTGTGATAGTTCCAGTGAATGACAAACCTTACTTTTGAACGAAAAATAAGTAATGTAGTCGATTGTCACAGCAAATATAACTTTGCTTCATCGACAATCTCAATACAGAACGTGATATATGGGAAAATGCCTGGCATTCCTTGAAATTCACATCTGCCCTCTGACCCGACGACAGTCTTAGCAATGTGGCATAATGGTTACCATGACGGGATGATCTGCTACCCTGTCATGGCTCGAGTCCTGCCGGGAGTGCTGATCAGACCTAGGCGAGGTCGAAACTGCAGTCCACTCCAGCCTGAATGAGAAGACATTTTGGGAAATCAAGAATATGTGAAATTCAATAGAAAGGTTAGCTCTATTCATATCATTGTGGGAAAATTTAACTTTATACGGAGCAAGAGGGAGATTCTGATAGGACCTGAAGGAGGACGATTGTGGACTAATATGGCAGACTAAGATCAACATTCCCAGCACAAGGGTGGGGAGGGGTGTGGGGTGAGAAAGCCAGCGTGGGGTATGACGAAGTATGGCGAAATACTCTCAAAATAGCACACTATACCACATTTAAATAGGCAATCAAGGAATAGTGATGTGAGAATATAGGCCAGGAGAATGGCCCATGACAGGAAGAGAGAAAGGACAACTGTTTAGCGGACAATTTGTCAAAGGATCGACTTCATTTGTCTATTTGACGAGTTCTAGTGTGCTGCTAAGACGGGAAAGGCTCACTGATGATGCCGGTGAAACGTCTGGGAATGTACCAAGCTTATGATCAGACTTTGGAAATTATTAATTATACTATGAACTCCGGACAAGGTGCTTTCTTCTACGTCTTCCTGCCAATATGTCCAAGTTGCGATGACAAGGTTAAACTACTTCTATCCAACACGAAAGGAGACTGCGACAACACTAAAAGCTACACCATCTTGATCTGCATACCCTCGATTGGACAGCTTTGGTTAATTTATGGAATAATGTTTGATGTTTTTCATGCTTAAACCTGAACAAGTTAGAAAAAGCAATCATATCGAGTCTGGATGAGATAGCTTTCACATGTTCAAATATCAGATCATCTTTTTTTCACTGCTGCCATGTAAGGAGAACCAGTCCGATCAACAAAAGGAGACCGAGTAACAGTTTGGCCAATTCAGATCATTTAAGTTGGCTTTAACGATTGATAGTTGAGTCTATCTGACAATCGGATGAGTGGAGGTCAAAAGGTTTTCTC